TTGGCAGTTCGGCAAGACGGTTTTGCGTTAGAATTTGTAAAAGAACAGACTAAAGAATTATGCGAATTAGCAGTTCGGCAAGATGGTTGGGCTTTGCAATTTGTAAAAGAACAGACTAAAGAATTATACGAATTAGCGGTTCGACCTATTTTGGCATTGTAAACAGGCTAATAATTAATTTCGTCGTTAAAAATAAAACATGGCATTAATAATTTGATTTAACTCATTGTCTAAACTAAACTAAATACTTATTAATGGCTTCTTTAGCAGTACTTATTTTATTTTTAAAAAAAGCCCACGATATTAACAAACCAACGCGTCATTGTAAAAATGATATTTATCAAAAAAACTTCCTGAAAATTTGATAATTAAATTCAATTCAATGCGGCTTGCATGTATTAAATTCATAAAAAAATAACACCACGAATTGGCCCAAGATTATATTTAGACAAACCAACAAAATGTTTGAACCATTTGTCCAAAACAAAGACACATTTGCAAAAATGGCGGAAAGAACCGAAAAAATTGCGAATTTTAAAAATGCGTTTGGCCGAAAAACCAAAAAATTGCGAATTTTAGAAATGTGTTTAGCCGAAAAAACATGTCGTTCACAATTTGATAAATAGATTTATTTTGAGCATACTTGTTGCAAAATAATTATGTATTATGGCAACCGTGTCCACCCCAAACATTTTAACCCGAATGGTCTTATTACAAATTACAAAACAATTATATATATGATCACATTTTTCCTGTATTCGTTTTGTAAAAAATTAATGTAACACCGGAATTTCAAGACGGTATTTTTTTAATTATTTGCGAATACATGTCCATGATACCTGTAAAGTCTTTATTAAGAGCATTGAGTTCCGAATATTTATTTTTAATCTTTTCATGTAAAAGATCTTCAATCTGATTTAGCGAAATGTGGATATTTTTAAGGTTATCTAAAGACTTTTGATTTTTTTTACTGATAATTTCGAGCTTTTTGTGGGTTTCGTCAAATTCCGAAACAGTATCCAAATTATTTGAAAAAATAGAACCATCGTTTTTGAAGATTTTAGTAAAACTCATTTATTTTTATTGATATATATTATTCCATTCCATAAAAAAAGCATGTTATAATACATATCAATTATTCTAAATACGACAATTTATACACCTTTTAAGAATAATAAGACAAAATAAAATAAAATTATTATTGTTAAAATCAGGCTATTTTTTTAATCCTGCACTAACATATCTAGTTACTAAGTAAAGTAAAGTAAATTTAATAAAATTTAATCTTATTGTGCGTGTTGATAATATCCGATAATGACTGGACCGAATCTGTTTGAAGTGTTTCTAATTTATAACTATTTTGCTTGTTGTCTTTTTCACTATTTATTTTATTTTTATTTGGCACTGGTTTAAAATTATTTAATTCGTCAAACAATTCAGACACCCTAAGATCACTTGGATATTTGTTTTCTATTCTTTTTTTTCCGTATATAGTATTTCTACCAGACTCAGATCCGACATTATAAATATTTGATTTATCTAATGAGGAACTTACAAGTCCTGGCGAAGAACTTACAAGTCCTGGTGAAGTACTTACAAGTCCTGGTGAAGAACTCACGAGTCCTGGCGAAGTACTTACAAGTTCTGATGCTGACAAAGGACCTGCTTTTATTGATTCTGGTTCTGATGCTGACGAAGGACCTGCTTTTATTGATTCTGATAATGATCTAACTGTGACAGGGACGTGTGACTCAAATTCCGAAGTCAATGCCAACTCGGAAATTGCTAAATCCCTCATTTTTTCCTTTTTTGGTTTATTATGTTTATTTTGTTGATAAGTGCCATTTGTAATAATTTGGCGCATCATTTGATTCCTTAAAATAATGTCAATTTCGGTACTTTGTTTGTCTATTGCTTTTTGAACACTGTCTATTTTTGAATTTAAAGATGTTCTAATTCTTTCAATTTTTAAAAGATCCTGATTTAGTGTGTTTAACTCGTCCATTTTTTTTTCTGTGTCGTCACTGACAAACTTCGAAAGTCTATAAACAATTGCGACGCTATAATTTAGAAGCGTGTTTCTGATTTTTGCGGAATTTGGTTCAGACCATTCTAACTTGTTTGTTAGGATCGCAATTATTTTAAGAATATGATTTAGCAAAGCATATAGCATATTGTTAAAAATATCAACGATTTCTGTTGAATCCTGGTTCGAAAATTTTGCCAGTTCATCTTCAAATTCCGAAGTCTCGAATTCATGGATAAATGTATAAAACTTAATGAGTGTTTCGATATTCCCCATAAAGGGGGATTCTAAATATGACAACATATTAACAACGTATCTATTTTTATCGCTTTTGTTTTTGCTTTTGCTTTTGCTTATGCCTATGCTTATGTTTTTGTTCAGCGTTTCAATATTTTTAACATTACATATATATTTTTCTATAATATGCCTAACGGAATCACCGTCGACTCCTTCAAGAAATTTTACATTGATATATGAAGTAACATATTTGACAAATTCATACACAGAAAATCCCCCCAAAAAGTTCCTGTTTCTATCATAAAAAACAAATTTCTTTTGTGAATACAAAGTTTCGACAATAACTGAATCTTTGTCCACAGTCTGTTGAATATTTATTACATAGTTCTGTAGCGGATGTAATGGATTTAATTGATTTATTTGATTCAGTGGATTTAATTGAATATCGTGTTCTTGCAAAACGGCATTGTCTTTACATAAATCCTGTTTTATTTTTAGTGTTGGACTCTTTGTATTGCCATTAAGATTTATTGAATTAATTGTCGGTTTATCCAAACGATTTAAACTATTTTGGTCATTGATGTTTAATATGTTATCTCTTTTCTGTTCTCCTGCTATTTTTTCAGATTCGGATTGAATTTTTTTTTTATATTGTAACATCTCTATTATTATGTCTATAGTTTCTAATAATTTATTTGCAAGTAAAAAGTGCCACGATATGTTCAAGACACATATTAGCAAAAAATAATATCCGTCAACGCTTTTTATTTTATTTTATTCGATTTTTATATATAGGTGAAAGACAATATAATATAATATGATCATGGTTAATCAATTGTGGCTGTTTTTTACCAATTTATAATCATTACGTCAAAAATTTAATTTAATCGTATTGTTTTTTGACAAATTATCGTTAATAAATTAAAAACAAAGTATACTACCTTAATCTTCCACTTTTTTTTATAAAAAGAGCAAAATAATATTAGGCTTTTTGTTTAGTGTTATTAATTAGCAATAAACAATTTATTTCGGAAAATATTAAACAAATTATAAAAAATAACAATAAGTCTAGTTTTTAGTTTGTTTTGCTTTTTGCCTTTCTTTTAAGGACCGGTTTTTTCGTTTTTCTTAACCTTAATATTTGCATCCTTCTTTACGACAGATTTTTTAGCCTTAGTTTTGGAAACAACCTTAGTTTCGGTCAAAGAGTCAATTATAGGTTCTTCTACAGGCTCTGTTATGGGCTCTGTTAAAGGCTCCGTTATAGGCTCTGTTACAAGTTCTGTTATAGGCTTTGGTTCGGATTTTTTAGTTTTTGTAGTTTTAGTCTTTGCAGTTTTTGCGGTTTTTGCAGTTTTTACTGTATCCACAGGCTCAATTATGTTAGCAGTATCTATTGTCTCTGCCGTTTCCACGATTTTTGCAGATTTTCCAGCCTTTGCGGTTTTTGCGGTTTTTGCGATTTTTGCGGATTTTCCAGCCTTTGCGGTTTTACCAGTCTTTGTGGTTTTTGCAACCTTAACTGTTTTTATAGTTTTGCCAACAGGCCCAGTCAAAGTATTATCATTTGTGTCAACTAACACGTCATTTTCGGCTTCATCTTCATCTTCATCTTCAACATCGTTTTCATTTTCAACGTCGTCTTCATCTTCAACATCGTCTTCGGATTTTTTTTTCGAATTTGCCTTAGGATTGTAATTAAAAAGTTTTTCGTGTTTTTCATAGTCCACTGCAGATAGTTTTTTTATATCTAGTTTTTTAATGGGATTGTTGTGGCGATATGTAATAACATATAATATTTCGCCGGTTTTTTCGCCAGTTTTGGGGTCGATTTTGCTGACTGGAACGTTTTGTGGTTTTGTTTCAGTTTTTATACCGGTATAGAAATACTTCTTCTTTTTCTTTCTCGTGCGAGTACATTCAAGCATTCCAAAAACAACAGATTCCCCAAGCGTTCCAAAAACAACGGGTTCCGGATGTTCTTTGCTTTTATTGGTTATATTTTTGTGTAATTTTTGAAACGCCTTGCTAGCAGCTTGTCTAGGCTTGCCTCCAGAGTATCTTCCGACAGTAACGACAGTACCGACATTACCGACTTTTTCATCAATATTGTACGTAATACATTTAAAAAATCTTTTTTCCATCACTTTTTTTTTTTTTTTGCCTTTATCGCCATCTTCATTTATTTCAAGATTGTTTTCTTCAACAACGTTATTTTTAGTGTTGACAGATTCTGAATCTAGATCTAAATCTTTTGTGTTTTTTTTACCTTTAGTATTTCTTTCGGATTTTAATTTAGCCATTAGTTTTAAACAACTATACTATTTATTTTTTAGGTAAAAAACGCACATGACAGCTAATCGGAAAAACAGTCCCAATGCTAAATGTTTATATAAAATGTTTTATTTTGATAATTATGTTGATAGTTAAGTTATATCAATATTGATAATTATATCAATGTTTATGCGTTAAACACTAAAATCTCTCTCCAATTGATAATATTTTATTTTCGTCAAGTATAATGTGCAGTGATTTACAATTGACAATAAAGAACTTTATAAAAACTGAGTACTCATTGAGAGCCGATATACTTAGTAATATATGTAGACACATTGATAATATGAACCATAAAAGTATTATACATCATACAAACAGAAATAAGTTAATGAACAAAGTTAGTTCATGCATAATCATGCTCAACACGTGCTATAATAATAGCCTTCCGCTTTACAAAAAAATGGATTTTAATCCAAGTCCTATTGAGTTGATATTAATAAAAAATGGCAATTTTGCGGAATTTGCAAAATTAACGTCAACATTTAATTCCCCAATTAGAGGCAAAATTAACAAATTTTTCGAAAGTGTCGACACAGATATTTATGAACTGATGAGGACTATTGGATCAAATTCGATCACGGGTATACTTAATCTAAGTATAGGCAGCAACTATCGTGAAATAATGGGTATTGATTCAGATCTTAAAGATATTATACAGTTTGTGCAAAAAAACAAAAAGAACATAAGTATCAAAGATTACATGATTAAACTCCATAACTCATCAGCTTTAATTGATATAATAGAAAAACAGTTCATACCTGTAGAACTAAAAGTAAGTTCCCAGATTTTTAATGGTCCAAAAACAACGATTCTTATTAATCGCCATAAATACGATAAAGTTGTTAACTCGGAAGAGTCGTCAAAATTTAAATTCGAAATTATGCTTGAAAACTGTTTTAAAATAACAATAAAATGCGCAAAAACAAAAAAAATATTTATTATTTATGGGTACTTTGACTACGATGTTACAAACACTTTAGTGACCACGTCTCAAGTATGTACTAATTATATTTATCAAAAAAAAAAGCTATTAATCGAATATGCAAGAAATAAAGTAAATATTAACAGAGAGTATAAAGACGTATATTTATCTAATATGTCTCTTGGTGACATACTTTCTTATAAAGGCGATAATCTTGTTGAAAAAATGCTTGCTGATTATGAACTTTATACGAAGGCTTGTAACATTAAATTTAAAGTAACTGTAAACGATTTTTTGTCCGCGGATTTAACAAGAAAATACACTATTCTTAGATGCCTCCTTCTTGGACCCAAAAGCTCAATAAAGAATGCAGCAATGTTGTTTGGAATGACAAAAGATCAAAATAGAGATTCACCAAATAACCAAACGTGTGTTGCAGACATACTATTTAGAAATCTTAACCATTCTCAACAATGCAGATTAAGAAAGTCCGAACAATATGTTAAACAGGAGTTAGAACGTATTAAAAAAATGACATCAGATGACGTGGATCTTAAACAACAATGTGTTATGAATAACAACATGGATGATCATGTTAAGAAATGTGCGCTATCCCGCCTTGAAGAAATGAAGTCTAGCAATAACGAGTATCATAAAAATCTCACTTATGTTAAGACATTGATTGATTATCCATGGGTTCCTAAAGACTATTCCGATATGTTTACCAATATTGGCAAAGATCTTGACAAATGCAGAGATAAATTGAGAAAAGTCAAAGAAGAGTTTGATTTAAGGGTTTATGGTCAAAACGAGTTTAAAACAGTTATTGGGGATATTGTCGGCAAGTGGTTTACAAATCCAAATAGTTTAGGTAAAGCAATTGGTCTTTGCGGACCTCCTGGCTGCGGAAAGACTTTAATCGCATCAGGGTTAGGAAAAGTGTTAAATATCCCCTACCAAGAAATTCACCTTGGTGGTCTTGAAGATGGATCTGTACTTAACGGTCACTCATTCACATACTCTGGTGCTCAACCCAGTCTCATTGTAACAAAGATGGTTGCGGCCGGAGAACCGAGATGCGTTTTATTTTTTGATGAGCTCGACAAGACATGTTGTAAGCATGGAATCAATGAGGTGTTTAATGTCCTTATTCATGTCACAGATCCAAACACAAACTCAAAGTTTAACGACAAATTTTTCCAGGATGTCACATTCCCTTTAAACAAATGTATTTTTGTTTTTAGTTTTAACGACGCCTCAAAAATTGACCCGATATTAAAAGACAGAATGGAAATTATTGAGGTATCGCCTTATTCACTAACTGATAAACTTGAGATTTCTAAAAACTACTTGATACCCGAAGTGTCAGATAGTGTTGGTATTGAAAAAGGGTCAATTTTAATATCCCCGCAAACTATCGAGCAAATTGTCACAAAATACACACTTGAGGCAGGAGTCAGAAAACTTAGAGGGTGTATTGAAAAGATTTTTCTTAAATTAAATATTGATCGTATTTATGGAAGAGGACCGTTTAAAAACAAAAAAAACTTTAGTTCTAAACAACCAATCACTATTACCAAAAAACACATACTAAAATATTTAGGAAAACCAAAAATCACAATCGAAAAAATTCACAATACAGACCAAATTGGTGTAATCAATGGTATGTATGCAACTACATCAGGATCAGGTGGTATTTTGCCGATTCTTGTTTATCCCGCAAAACATGGACATTCAAAACCCACGTTAGAACTTACGGGAAAACAAGGCAAAGTTATGAAAGAGTCAATTAACTTTGCATGGACAATTGCAAAAAATTGCTCAAAAAATGAAGTAGTAAAAAAGTTTTACAAACACAATAAAGGAGGCATACACGTTCATACCCCGGACGGAGCTGTTCCAAAAGATGGACCTTCTGCTGGTTCCGCATTTACAACCACTTTTTTGTCAAGACTTACAGGCTTTCCTGTTAAACACGAGATCGCAATGACTGGTGAAATTAGTATCGGAGGCAATATTACAGCAATCGGTGGTCTTGAGCATAAACTTTCGGGTGCAAAAATTGCGGGTGTTAAACTTGTGTTTGTATGTGAAGAAAATCTTGACGATTTAAAAAAAATTAAAGAAACCAATCCCGGTTTATTTAACCTTACGAATGTTTACAAGAATGCAAAAGTACAAAAAGTTATTGACGAAGTCTGCAAAAAGAAAAATTCAAATGTCGGCGACTTTAAGATCATTGTTGTAAACACAATTTACGACATAATCCCCTATGCACTTCTTGACATATTGTTTATTAAGAAAACTTATAATAATTGCACATATACCGTTTATGACAAGACTTGTGATTGGAATGATTTTATGGTAAAAAATGATGGTGGTTTTGACAATAATATTGTTGAAATCGACAATGTTGTTGTAAACGATGATTATAATTATGACGATTTTAACAGTAACGATGATGATAATAACGACGGTAATGATTTTGACAATACATGTAGTGATACTGACGTCGATTTAGATAAATAAATTTTTTATAATAAACTAATTATGAATTTTAATTTGTCACACAAAATATTTTATGCCCATTGATATCGGTCAATACAGTTTTTAATTATGTCCATTTTTGAATTAATGTCATAAATGGTCTTAATGAAGCCGTCATTGAGTACATTAACATGTTTTATTATTTTTAACGCATTTTTTACATCACTAATCAAAGACAAAACATTATTATAACTGTTTCTGTTTCCCAACTTACAATATTCGTCACTAGATTCATAATTCCTACCTGACCCGTTGTGTCTATTGGTGTAATCGATTCTGCCATTGTCATTGTCACAGTTATCATTAAAACTAAATCTGTCATTAGAATTAGAATCGGATCCGTCAATAGAATTATCATTGTCAATAGAATCGAATCTGTTAATGCCTATAGAATCATAATAATCATTAGAATCATAATAATCATTAGAATCATACATGTCGTTAGAATCGAGTATGTTAATAGAATTATTGTCGTCAATTGAATCTAATCTATCATTAGAATCGAGTCTGTTAATAGAATTATTGTCGTCAATTGAGTCTAATCTATCATTAGAATCGAATCTGTCAATAGAATCATAATTACAATCACCATTAGACCCATTATTACTAATAAATCCGTCATCATCAATAAATCCACCATTATCAATAAATTCATCATTGTCTGTTTCACTATATCTGTTCATTGAACCATCATACCTTTCTATTAGATGTTTTGGTGGTTTATTATAACTGTCCAATGACGAGTCATTGTTATAAAAGCCACTTGATTCGTCATCAAATAACATCTCATCTCGACATGTTTCGGTAAATTTCTCAATTGACATTTCGTATTTAGATGCATGTTGTTCATTTATAGTCGGAACAATTTTACGCTCAGGTCCTTTTACTTTTAGGGTGTATTTTGATGTATCAATACCAAATCTAATCATCTGGTCGTAAACTTCTTGTGTAATAGTTCTTTTGTTTCTTTGGTCAGCAATATCTTTACTAATGTTGTCGATTTTTGAATCATCAACTAAAATTCTTCTTAGATCTTTAATTTGATTATACGTTTTGCCAATTGTTACGTCAGACAAACCACAAAACGTTCGCGATAGTATTTTTTTTGTAATTGTGTTTAGCCCATACATATTAGCCAACAAAAGAATACATGCAGCAGCGAGAGAATATGTAGTGTGATTTGACGCAATGTTTAGTTTATCAATGTTATTAGCAATAGTTTTTGCAATTTTGGTGTGTTTGTTTTTAATTTGTAATTCATCACACTTACGTTGAATGAAATGAATTACTTTGCTCGTACCAATATCTTTAATAATAGTGTCATCGTTAAGAATCGCCAAAAGACTTCGTATACCTTTGTTGACATCTCTTTCCGTAATGCCGAAATAGAATGCGATTTCTTTGACGGCTCTTGTTTCATCATTACGTCTACATGCAATGAATAAACATCCCGCAACAATACCGGATCTATTAAACCCTCTTGTAATTATCGGCTTACCTTTGTTTTTCCCTGTTTTATGAACTGTGCTGCTTACTTGTTTACATAAAATTTTGGCATCATCTTCAATCTTTTTAACAATGCCGTAAACAACACACACATTATGAATCTTTTTAAACATAATATTGTCGCTTCGTTCTTTGTAAGGCATTGCATTCCAAATATGTAATTTTTTCAATCTGCCTTTTACATTGACGCTTGTACCTAGCGATGATTGCGGTAAAAGTCTATTATGTACAATACCGTTTTTTGCGGTATCATTGTCGTCACCATCATAATTACGTCTCTCCGAACTATTATCAAAAACTGTATTAATAACTTGCCCACAGTTACAAAAAATTATCCCTTTTGCATAATCTTCAATAAAATTTGCCGACCCGCAATCTTGGCACGTATTGGCATTGTCCCGCTTTTTTTTATGGACAATTCCCTCATTAAGAATATCTTCTAATTCGCGATTAGTTAGTATTTTAGTCCAATAGGACATTTAAATTATGTTATGTTACAACAAATAAAATTGATATTTAATATGTCTATTTAACATGTTGTTACATTTATAAATTCAATTATTCAAATATTCAATTATTTAAATGGCGACAAAAACAAAATCAAAAGTTCAATTTAAATCGCTAATTATTGTTGATGACAGTGATAATGATAATGAAATTGACAATACTGATAACAATACTGACGATGATAATGACATTGTCGATGTCGATGTTAATGTCAATACAACGACTGGCCCGTTTCATGAACAATTGACAGCCGAATCGACACAAATTGCAAATCTGACAAAAGAACTTTATGCTTATGTTGAAGGCTGGGATACTTTTTATGATAATGGTGATGAATTAAAAAATATGACATATCATTTATCTTGGCATATTATGTTTGCAGATCTTTATAAAGATCAGAGGTTTGAAAACATAAACACCGAGCTTAAAAAATTAGTAACAAATAACAGACAAATAAAGTTGTATCCTCTTCCTTCGTATGTTATGGCCGCTTTTAAAATTACTAGTGCATCCAATCTAAAAGTTGTGTTTATTGGCCAGGATCCGTATTTTAACCATGAAAACTATCGTGACACATATGTACCGGAGGCGATGGGTCTTTCGTTTTCAGTTCCAACTGGCGTAAAAATCCCAAGTTCTCTACGAAACATATTTAGTAATATGATAAAATTTGGGCATATTAAAAAAATGCCTAAATCGGGAAATTTATGGTTTTGGGCAGCACAAGGATGTTTGATGTTGAATGCTGCACTAACTGTTATTGATAGTAAAAAAGAAGTCCATCTCAAAATGTGGGAGTGGTTTACTGATTATATAATTAAATATATTTCTCAAAATATGGAGGGAATCATTTTTGTGTTATGGGGTAGTTATGCATACAAAAAAATTAATATTATTGATCTTGATAAACATTATACAATTGTCTCATCGCATCCGTCAGGCCTATCTGCGAACAAGCCCTTAAAAAACTACCCAGCGTTTAACGATGAAGACCATTTTGGAAAAATCAACAAATATCTAGAAAAAACTGGCAAACGAATTATTTGGGAGTAATAACAAATTATTGTCTCCAAATATCAAAAAAAAGCCGGCAAATAAATTATTTGGGAACAACAAATTATTTAGAATTAAATATAAATTACATAAACAAATACGCATTACAAATGAAACAACAAACTATTCAAAATTAATAAGCCACAAATGGACAAACTTTCAATGGCGATTTTTATATTATTTTTTTTATTTAGCGGACCTGGTTTGGCATCTGCCGCAATTATTGCCTATGTTTTTTTTGGTATTGTAATACTTGATCATATTACGTTGTTTACCCTGTGTTCTCTACTAACTTATAATTTTTATGGTGTAATAGGACTGTTTTATATATTTACATGTTCTTTGATACTTATAGTATGCAGTCTAATGTATTGGTATGAGATGTCTGTCGATGACTTTAAAAATAAGGCGTTCGAAATACAAAATCAGTTTATTGACAAAAAATGTGATGTTAATGAGACGTGTGATATTTCCCAAAATTCTATTGACGAAATACTTAAATTGGCAATTGAAAACAAAAATAATATCATAAAAACTTTCTGGTTCAAAATAGGTTTTACCGAAAAATACAGAACAAAATATTGGCAATATTATTTGACAGCATCGAGTAAATTTGACTCTTTTTATGTTTTTGCAATAGCATGTGTTAGTCAGTTTAAAGATCTTACAAAAGACATACCAGTACTCAAAATTTTTTATTATGCAATCGATCAGTTTTTTATTTACAAACAAAGTATCGAAACTTTAAGAGAATTACACAAACTTAATAGAAATATTCAAAGAGATTTCCAAAAACAAAAAATAAATTCCGACAATGCCGAACCATTACATCAATTTGCCGATATTGGCTCCATATTGGGAAATATTAATATGCCTGATATAAATAAGATAAATAAACACATAGACAGTATGCCTTCTGAAGAAAAGAAAAAAATGGAAAACATAGTTAACCAAATGATGAAAAATGTGGGTAATGATGATATGACGAAGATGTTTTCTAATCTTGAAGGGATGTTTGGTAAACTTCAGAAAGGTGGTAGAAAAAGAAAAGGAAGACGTTAGACATTATAAAACAATTAGTTATGATATTTGTCTTTCCGACAAACGTTGCAAATTATGCTACGACAAATTTTCGAAACAAATAAAAATAAAAATAAAAATAAAAACAAAAATAAAAGAAAAAGAATGAACGTCGTCTTCCACATCACATGCTCAAAAACATAATTGGTTTGTTTAAAATTGTTTTTTACCAATTTAAAATTGTTTCTCTTAAAAATCATATTATCATATGACTTTTTTTATTTACACATTTGAAGGTTTATGTTACGGCAAATTTTTTATTTATGTACAAAAGGTTTTTCCATTGCGGAAACACGTAAATTACGACATATTGGAGTGCAAAATGCAAAAAAACGAGATATGCGAATTCGCTGCCCACCCAATAAATTATGTGAATTAGCAGTTCGACAAAAACAGTTTAGCACTTCAAATTGTAAATTAGTCATAAAAAAGATATGACAGTTTTGCGATTTGTATTAAAAAATATTATCTGGTCTAATTTATTTTTGTTTTTTATTAATTATTATGCCAACAAAACTATAAACGCAATATAAAAAGAACAATGTCAAAGCTTTTCCTAATGTAATGTGGTGTCTAAATTATTTTATGTGTATTTACTGGATCAAACATTATTAATAATGCCGTCAATGTTATGTTATTGACTTGACATTATCAATGTTGTCAATATTATTAAATATATCACATAAAGGTATATACACGACTATTAATGCCGTGTTATTAAATGCAAAACATTTAAAAAATTGATTTATATAAGCACATAATATAAATGACTATACCTACTGATAACAGTAGACAATATATGCCAAAAACAAGTAAGAAATCAAAAAGCGGTCTTA